GGTGTTCATTAAAGAGCGTTATCATTACTCTATGTGAAAAGATTACTATACCTTCTCACGGTTGCCATGCTAGCTGTTTACCTAGCCTAGCAACCGGGAGCTGCCCAGGTAAGAGAGTAGTAATAATACAGTCAGTCACGCCCACCTGTCAGACATGTGCAGGTTCACATCGTGTGATTAAACATCAGAGAGTTACACTTGTTAGAGCAGAAGCTGATTCAGTATAAAGGGTAGGACAAACATCCAAACACAAGTGAATGAATGAACAGTCGTCCATGTCTTTTTAACTCTTAATGCGTGTTCTGCTGTAAACTGTGAATAATATCCTGACTGTGTCACATTGTCGAGTCCGCTGTTAGTTTTTGCACAATTTCATCAAAACGTAAAATGTTTTCTGTGCATCATTAAATAATGAAGTAGTGTGCTTTGAAATGGTCGCATTTGACTCTGATGATACGTCCTTAATATATGTATTGTTGTCTTCAGGATGATGGTTGATGGATTTAGTGGCAGAACATGTGAGTCGGAGGGCCAATGGAACCACATCAAAAAGTTTCTGGAGAGGTCGGGGCCCTTCACGCATCCTGACTTTGAACCTAGCACAGAGGTAACAGTCACATCGATTAATTGGTTGACTCTTCTTGTCATTTGATCGGTGGTCTTTTATTTGTCTAATATCACATTTCTTCATCCGCTTACCACAGTCGTTGCAGTTTATGCTGGAAACCTGCAAAATCCTAGTGATTGGTGCTGGTGGACTGGGGTGTGAGCTGCTAAAAGACCTGGTATGATCACCACTATTATCAATATTTGGAAGGTGTCCTTTTTGCTGTACTTAATGGCTAAACGTGTTTGTTTTTCTACACTTTTTTGCTCAGGCTTTATCAGGCTTTCGAAACATTCAAGTTGTGGACATGGACACCATTGATGTTTCAAACCTGAATCGTCAGTTCCTCTTTAGGTCAGTAGAACTAACTCATAAATTAAATGTACATTTCCGACCCTTTTAATCAGTATATGTTTATTTTGTAAGAAAAAAAAACCCATATATATATATATATATATATATATATATATATATATATACATTTTGTAAGGAAGCCGATATATTGACTTGATGTGTATAATTTTCAACAGGTCGAAAGACGTAGGCCGGCCCAAGGCGAATGTTGCTGCGGATTTTATCAACAATCGCATACCCGGATGCTGTGTAGTTCCGTATCCTTTTAATGCAAACCTGTTCTTTAGTTTTGATTGCATAATATGAAATGAAAATGCCAAAACCATGATGTTCAATCAAAAGGTTGAAAACAGCTAGCCATATCAAGAGTCACTATTAGTCACTGTTAGATCAGGCCCCATGTGCGGAGGCTAGACCACCAAGCGTAAGGCCTGGGTTCAAGTCCTCCTGATTTCCCACTCTGTCTGCTGTATATTATCTTAAAAAAAAAAAAGCCCTGAATCACAATTTCACAGTGTGGACATATTTGAACACAAGTGAGCTTTCTGTCCAACCATGAACTTTTCCTTAATGCTTTGTGCAGACATTTTAAGAAAATTCAAGACTTTGATGAAACATTCTACAGACGTAAGTATGATTGAGGCCGTTTAGTTGCATCTTTCCTAATGTCTGGTTGGAAGGGGTCTAAGGTTCAGTCAGCTTGAAATCTGCGTAAAATGGTGTATTTGACTGTTACTAAAAATTACATATGACAAATATCATCTAAAATAAGTTTTAGATGATATTTCATTCCATTTGCAGCATTATAATGCACTTCAGTATGTATTTGTTTAAAAATATTTATTCAAACCTCCTCTGCTTGGACTGAATTAATGGATCCTTCTGTCTTCTAGAATTTCACATTATTGTCTGTGGACTAGATTCAATCATCGCCAGGAGGTGGATGAATGGTATGCTGGTAAGTTGTGTTTACTTCAGCCTTTGTCACAGTCTTTTTTCCTTTTTAACTCCATCAGTTTGGTAAATTTGCATTACATAACACTTACACCCCCAAAGTGATGCAGTTGAAAGATGTTTTGGTAAAACAAACATATTTCATGCAATCAAGTGTGATCCCTGTGTCTTTCTGTGCAGCTGTCTCTGCTTGTGTATGAGGATGGTGTCTTGGATCCAGGTTCCATCATCCCTCTGATTGATGGTGGGACAGAAGGCTTTAAAGGCAACGCCAGAGTCATCCTTCCTGGCATGTCTGCCTGCGTTGACTGTACCCTTGAGCTTTACCCTCCTCAGGTGAGAAAGCTTTTTTTTTTTTTTTTTTTTTTTTTTTTAAATAAAAGATGGTTAAAATCAAACCTTGTTTTAAGTGTATGTGTCAGTCCTAAAATACACCTGCCTTTGTAGGTCAACTTCCCCATGTGTACAATAGCCTCCATGCCTCGTTTGCCAGAACATTGCGTCGAGTACGTTCGGATGCTGCTGTGGCCCAAAGAGAAACCATTTGGAGGTATGAAATCTCATTGGAGTTGTAAATAATTTTGTTGTTGCTTTTTAAGATTACAGTTATCCTTCAATATCAACACAGCATTTTTAAAAGTAATTTTTATGTGTGTTTCTTTGTGTGAATTAGATGGTGTGGTCCTTGATGGAGATGACCCAGAACACATCCAGTGGGTGTACCAGAGATCTTTGGAGAGAGCAGCAGAGTTCAACATAACAGGAGTGACATACAGACTCACACAGGGTGAGCACATTGAGGACACCGATCTGTCACCACCAGAAATGTCTTTCTTTATTTGAGCTCCACTACGAGATGAGCCAAAGTACACAAGACCTACTGAGCTGTTGCTATAATTATACTTTTTTAAAGTCTGGAATCTTAGAGCTTTGATTTCTGCAGTTTTCCATTCAAAATAATAATCAACACACATATTTATCTACTGTGGCCTACTGTACTTCTGTGCTGCAGGTGTTGTGAAGAGAATCATTCCAGCTGTTGCATCTACAAATGCTGTCATAGCTGGTAAGTTGTTTGAACTGAATTACAATAAAGATGCCTAAGGAAAGACACATTATCGTGGTATTGTTTATGAAAGATTGTATTCCCTGCCATAAAAGAGTAAAACATTTACAAACAGGCCTTGGTATGTTGACTCAAAGCAAGCCGACAAGTCTTCCAGGATGTAACATTTTATTTGTTTCTTTTGTTTGATCCAGCTGCTTGTGCCACTGAGGTTTTCAAAATAGCAACAAAGTGAGTTTGCATGCTCTGCTACTCTGTTAAGCCCACAAAATGATGTGTTTACACATTTGCCTCTCACTGTTGTGTTGTATTATTAACTTCTGCTTTTGCATTTGCAGTGCCTATATACCTCTTAACAACTACATGGTGTTCAATGATGTTGATGGCCTGTACACCTACGCTTTTGAAGCAGAACGGAAGGTTTGTCATGGATATTCATTTATCAGCTCGTACTTGCCTGATCAATACAATCAATAAAGTTAATTTCTATTGTCTTGAATGAAGGAAAACTGTTCAGCCTGCAGCCAAGTTCCCCTGGACCTGAACTTTTGTCCATGTTCCAAACTCCAAGAGGTTTTGGACTACTTCACTGACAGTGCCTCCCTGTACGTTGGCCTTCCTAATAACAATCTATAACCAATAAGTACCACTCTTCTTAATTATGCTTATGGTCCTATTTTTTTTATATATATGGTCTTCAACAGCCAAATCTTTTATTTTTTCAGACAAATGAAATCCCCTGCCATAACGGCAACAGTGGAAGGAAAAAACAAAACGCTATATTTACAGGTATTTAGCCTATGATTTGTTTTTAGTTAATTATTAAGAAAGGTGTCCTGATGAAATAAGGCAATCATGCAAGTTTTGGTGTGAGCTGACTTTCACCTGGTATTTTGTGTTACAGTCTGTCGCTTCAATTGAGCAGAGGACGCGGCCAAATCTGTCCAAAACCCTAAAGGGTGAGCTCCTTTATTTTCTGATACGTTTGCTAGAAATGGCAACGCCTATGTTTGTTGGAATAAACCGAGTTGAACATGCACATTGACTTGTGTTCTGATATATGAACATGATTTTTCCAGAGTTGGGCCTGAGTGACGGACAAGAGTTGGCTGTAGCTGATGTCACCACACCTCAGACCATGTTGTTCAGACTCTGCTTCACTACTTAGGAAAAACTCCATCACTCCCACCACCAGTTGATGTCATTCTTGTTTTTTTTTTTGTTTTTTTTGCCAACTATCACCTGATGCAGGGTAATTAAAGCAGCCTAATAACTAGAAAAGTTTACACTGTACGATTTCACAGTGTAAATGATTGTTGCTGATTTCTTTGTTTTAATGTACTCGTTGACTTTAGTACAGTTTTTTGCACTGAAAAGCCAAATCATAACATGTCATGTTTTGGTGATACATTTTCTGCAAATGTCACAGATTTCTGCATTAATGTTTTATCTGCACTCCAATCTAAGTTGTGCTCTCTACAAAGAAAGAGACAAGCAGGAGTTACTTTGGAAAGAAACTTCTGTATGTGTGAATATTTATTATTTTATTCTGACAGTTTTTTTTAGTTGCAGTAACCACTGAAGCGGTACATGCCTGATATTGAAAATGATATGTAAACTGGAATAAAAATGTTTTTCTTATTACTTTCCTGTGTTATTTATGTCCATGCATACACTGTATGTGTGAGTCCAGTTTTAATCTCGTTTCATCTTTTAGTAGGTATGATTTGGAGGAGTTTTATTAGAAAGACTTTATTTAGAGTCAAGTTGTTTACATGTATCAATTCAGTTCAATCAATTTTCAGTCTATTTACCTATATATTGAAACACATAGGCTCTAACGTTGTAATTGAGCTGCACGCAATATTTTAAAATGTGTTTTCCACATTTGCAAGTATTTAAATAAAGAAATGTAAGCCAGTCGAGGACTTCACCTCGCGGACTGGACTCGTCTCACCTCACAACATTGCAGGCGCAGTCAGACCGGATCGTGACGTCATGCTGCTACGTGGAAAGGAAGAAGATAGCAGGCTAATGCTAGCCGTTACAAGTTGAGCGACCAAAACAAACGATGACGGCGGAGCAAAGGAGCCGGAAATCTTGGATTTACTATGGAAAATGCGCTTTGTTTGATGGCCTGGATGCGATTTAGATAAACCTGTATGTCTACATTACTGACTTTTAAAACATGTTGGGATATTAAGAGACAGCTGACCGGTTTTTCCTGCTGTGTCTGGGATTGATGTCCCCTGTACACTAACGTTATGCGTTTGCTAACCTACAGCTTTGCTAGGCTGTAGCTGGATGTCAAAGAACCTTTTCATGTACTCAACATACATTTTGAGTAACAAAATACTCCTCGCAGCAGCTTATCTTGGCAAACGAAGAACACAATGTCAGTAAATTTGACTGCTTAGTGTGGGTACGCCGAGTTCCCTTTACTGTATGATCCGTGAAACCTTTACTGAACTTGGTGATAGCTAGCTAGCTACAGAGGCAAAATGAGTTGGTTCAATACATCTCATCTGTCTAGCTTCGCTAAGCAAGCTTTGACAACAGCTCAGAAGTCAATCGACCGGGTTCTGGACATCAAAGAGGAGGACCAATGGGGTGACACAGTTGTTATGCCTTATGATGGTAAGTAATGCAAAACACCATGATAAAAGCCTCCAAATAAACAGGTTGGATTACTTTTAAAACTGTCTGATTCTCCCCTGTCAGATGTTACAATACCCGAGAAGCTGTCCTTAAGTGGAGGGTGGGGGATGACTCAATGGGAAGCACCACCTGAAGAAAAGACCACAACTCCTCCTACCTCTTCTGAGGCCATCACTACTCCTGTCACTCGCACAGTTGTGGATGAAACCGAAAACTTTTTCAGTGCCTTTTTGCCACCAGGAGACGTTCAAGTTGTCCCCAAATCCCAGGTGGTTTCGGTGCCCCCTACTAAATCCCAAAGGCGGCCTCGGGAAAAGGAAGAGAAAAACATTGAGGCTGTGGTCCAAAAAGAAGAGGAGACTGACGAGTCAGCCCTTGCTGATGAGAGTACTGAGAATCAGAGAGCTTTTGAGATCCAGCCAGCGGACCCTGAGTCCTCCTCACCCACACCAACTTATGCAGACACTATTCTCCTGGAGCCTGTTTCTCCTGCTTACTCGTCAAGCGATTCTGCTTGCAACACTGATATCAAAGAGAGCAGTTTAGAAACAGATGTTAGCTTAAAGGAATCTGAAAACTCCATAACAGAGCCACCACAGAGTCCATGCGATCTCCAAATTGAGCAGGAAACCATAGATTCTTCCGATCCTTCTGCCGTCAATTCTGGCACTATAAGCTCTACTTCTCCTAATTCGTCACCTTCCCCTTCCGCTAAAGAAGGACTAGTAGAGCATAAAGACTCAAAGGTGGAGGACCGTCAAAGTGATACCCCTTCTCCTCCGGTCAGTGCTTTCTCCTCAGGAACCTCAACCACCAGTGACATTGAAGTGCTGGACCATGAGTCTGTGTTAAGTGAGAGCTCGGCCAGTTCCAGACAAGAAACAGGTGAGGGCAAGGCTGGCCTACACCTGATGCAGGGCTCCTTCCAGCTTCTCTCTGCCTCAACCTGTGGAGATTTCCCCCGCCTGGAGGATTATTCCAAACTCACAGAGAGCTGCGGTTCTTCCTCAGATGCGTTTGAGCGCATCGATTCCTTCAGCGTGCAGTCATTGGACAGTCGGAGCGTCAGTGAGGTGAACTCAGATGATGAGATCCCTGGCAGCCGAACACTCGCGTCTGTCACTGCGGGCCCCGCTCCTTTGACAGTGTCGTCAGCTGTATGTGAAAAGCAAGACGATGGATTGGTGGAGAAGGTAGAAGAGGGGAAAGATGAGGAGGAAGACAGCTTCACAGAGCCAATGAGGGAGCAGTCGCTGGATGAGATGGAGGAAAGTGGACGGAGTGCGACGCCTGTTAATAGTGAACAACCGGAGGAGTTGACAGAACAGGAATCTGAGGCTAACGCCACACTGTCGGATGCTACCTGCGTAGCTGGAGAGACGATCATCCCACCGATCACTGAAGACATGAAAGGTTTCTCAACAGCTCAGATTTTGGAGCTTCAAAAGGTAGCATTGGTTCCTATCAGTCTTTAAGTATCATGTGTAGGATTTTATGTTCATCTGATACATACATATATATCAACAAATCTACAAAATCTATATAGCTGTGACGGTTACCTCCAGCTTGAAGGATGGTGTGTGTCTTTGCAATGAGTCTTTGATAAGCAAATCTAAATCTGTCGAGAATAAAGTACCATGCAAAAGTCTTAAACTACATTGATCAGTAGAGAATAACAAGTTGAATATATAATATTTAAGTTCATATCTCTACATTAATAACAAAGTAAAAATATACATAAAAGAAATGCATCTAAAGCAATTCAGTTCTTTACAAAGCCTTCTTTAAAATGTAAAAGTAAGTAAAAAAGCTTTGCATGAATTTCAGTGTCATGACAGTGAGATCCATGAGACCCATGTCAGTATTTCCATGTTGCTTTGAATTTGTTCAAGCCAGCTGTCTGGAGCACACGTGTGTTTGTTTTCTGATGGGTTTAATCCCATCTTTGCCGTGTGGTTAAAATCATTGGACACAAAGTTTTTGTTTAGTTTCAGTCTTTCAATTGTTCCACTATTCCCAGAAGCCAGTCGTCAAACCTTTACAGTATATCTCTACTGCACCACGTCACCTTTTCATGTTTTTAGTCTTCTCATGCTTTCCTCACATCCTTTGGACATTTTTATAGGTCATCGATGAACTGTCAGGGCGCCTTGAGAAGAGAGAATCCCAGCTGCTGGCAGTCAGCAAAGACAAAGCCAGGCTGGAGGAAGAGTGTGACAACCTTAAAGAGTGAGTTTGTTCTTCACATTGTCCCATGTTGTTCATATAACTCCATAAATGTGTCCAGCTATAGGTGAAGCTACACAAATGAATGTTTATGTAGCTTCAGGCTGAAATGTAAATCGATGTTTTTTCGTTACTCTTAATTGATGAAAGCTTTATGAAGCTACTTGTGTTGTTTTTGCCTTGATGCTCTATATACTTTGAGAATGAGCTCTTAAACCAATGTGTCTGTTCCTCCTCAAGTGAAGTGGTAACCTTGAAGGAGGAGAGCTCCACCGTTCAGTCCCTGAAGGAGGAGTTCACCCAGCGCATCGCAGACACAGAGAGGAAGGCTCAGCTGGCCTGCAAAGAAAGAGACATAGCAAAGAAGGTAACATGTTAGTCTTCCTAGGCCAGGGGTTCCAGAACTTTGCCAAGCCAAGGACCCCCATATAGCATTAGCTAATGGCAAGGACTGAAAGATTTCGTAAATTTTGCTCATTCCTTGTGCATTACAAGGAATTGTCAATACAATGTACATGACAAGGTAGTTAAGACACACGACTTCTTAACATGTTTCCTTTTATGTTTATTAACATTTATTATCTCGTTATGCATTCAGTGTCTTTTTGTATTAAAACATTCTGAACCATAAGTTTCCGAGACCCCTAGAGTCTCCTCCTGGGTGGGCTGGGAGCTCCAATTTCAAGATGTTAAGATACAAAGACTAACAGTGTCTTAAGTGCTGGTGTTAAAAATGAAATGTTTCTGTCGTACAGGAAATCAAGGGCCTGAGAGAAGAGCTTTCTACCAGACTAAACTCCAGTGATACAATGGAGATCATCAGAGAAAAAGAAGAGCAGATCAGAGGCCTGCTAGAAGAAGGTAACACTGATTGTTGTCGCTAAATATTTTTTATACTCTTCACCAATGCCAACCCTGCCAGTTTGATTCTGGACAGCTTTTTTACTCGGTCGTCAGTTGAGCCTCACGTGGTACTGTGGCTTATTTTACTATTTCATGTGTTTGAGTAGCAGGAATCATTCAAACATTCGTCTTGATGGAGCCTTTTTTTAATGTAATCCTGAATTAAATACAAGGTACAAATACAAAACAAGGCTCAGACATAACAGGTCTCATTTGAATATATGTCACTAATTTTATTAAAGTTGGCTGATCAGGTGTTTATCTCTATCATGTTTAGGTGAAAAGCTGTCTAAGCAGCAACTGCAGCACAGCAACATCATCAAGAAGCTGCGAGCGAAGGAGAAGGAGAGTGACACAAAGATCACCAAGCAACAGAAGAAAATCAAGGAGCTGGACGAGGAGCTCCGACAACTGCAGCAGGTAACACCTTTGTTTGTGTTTGGTGCCCAGTTAAAAATGTAAATATATCATATCAAGATACTTCTGACTTATTTTTATAGTTTTAATAATATTTGATATAAATTTACATTAAAAAAAAGAAATGGTTGGTTTTCTTACAATGGTTAATTATGTTTGACAGAGGCACGGTTTCTATTGTATATTATAATAATATAATATTGGTTCTAGAGGTTAAAGGAGGAATATGCCACTTTTTGATCCAGTAGATGTCGCCCCTGAGCACCAGCATAAACCAAAACAACTGCATTGTTGTGTTAGCATGCTAATGCTAACTGTCTTTAGTTTGCTCGTAGCTTCCCACTGCATGCAAATTTACATGAAATGGCCGTGATCTAAAAGCGCTTATGTGACATTCAAATAAGCAGTGAGTACAATTCTACATTACAATTCTACAATTCACTTAGCAGACGCTTTTATCCAAAGTGACGTACATCAGAGAGTAAGTACAACACAAGCAAGGATCTAGAAAAAAGGGAACAATGTCAGTAGGAGCAAACGATCAGCTTTGAGTCCGATTGGACAAACAGGTGCTGACAGGAAGTGACCAGAGGCAAAGCACAACATTGAGGGCAGTTCTTGAGAGCTCTAATCAGTATAGAAACCATCTTATAAGTCATCGTTATCAAACAAAAACAATCGTCACTCACAACCATCATCATCATCATCAATTATATCGAGACCATCATCATTAAGTTCGTAGGTATTCATGAAAGAGCTGTGTCTTTAGCTTTTTCTTAAAGGTGCAGAGGGACTCTGCAGATCGAATGGAGTTCGTACAGTATGTTATTCTTCTTTCCTCTAGTCCCTCAATTAAACAACTTTTATACGCAATGGGATGAGTCGGCTGGCCGCCCCGTCCATGTAAACACAGTGTCGATACGGCTCAGACAGCATCACAGACAGTGGGACTCGGGTGTCATTGTAGACAGTCATGACTCACAGAGTTATTTTCAGAGGATATACTGGATTTCTGCTACATTTATGTGTAAAATGACGCTCATTCAGCCTTTAAGGGTTTGGTAAACATTTAAATCATTTGAAGTAGAAAATGAGGTCATCAGATTAGACTGGATTTAAAAATGAATGTAATTCTCAAAAATGTCGTCACATTGTCTAAATTGTTGAGCAACACTACCCTCTCTGAAATAAATAACCAACCTGAGTCATAATTATGAGACTTTAGGAAATGACTTCTAAACACACACCTTTGAACCATGTTGTTGCTGCTTCTGGTGCTAGTTTTCTTAAGAATGAAAGTAGGTTTGTTGAGTGATGGAGGCCGGTTCATGCCAAAGTCATTTTGTGGTTGTTGTTTAAGTATTGTTTGAGTTAGAGGTGTGTCTCAACTCTCCAGCCATTAATAGTATCCCTTGACAATACTTTGTTGAAACAATACATGGCAACCTGGTCATCCTGCAGTGTCTTATATTGTTCAGGAAAAATGTCAACTGCATGGCTTTAAAAAGTCATGTATCTGTTTGTGTCTCACTCTCATTTTTAATTTGTCTTCCTGAAATACTTTTTTTCTGTCTTTGAAACCCTTGATGTTTGATGCTTATATTTATTTTTAAATTCTGCTCTTGGTTTATGTGTTTTAGGTTCTAGATGGGAAGGAGGAGGTTGAGAAGCAGCATAGGGAGAACATCAAGAAGCTGAATGCTGTAGTGGAGCGGCAGGAGAAGGAGCAGAGCCGGCTGCAGACGGACTCAGAGGAGCTGCAGGAGAAGAATAGAAGCATCCAGGCTGCTCTGGACAGCTGTTACAAGTAATCACTACAACCTGCCATCCAGACTGAATACTGTATATATGAGTAGAGCAAAGTGACGTATTTACTGAGTGATAACCCAGTTTATGTATTCATTGTATTTCAGATGCAAGTATATATTTTATTCCTGGTTGTTTATAGATATATTACATTTGGTTAATAGTTTAGAACCTCTTTCCATTTTTGTACAAAGACCATATACTTCTTACAGATGGAGCCAAAAAAAAAATCTTTTTACATTTACCATGTACATACATATACTGTATATCTGATCCGATCTGAAGTACAGAGCCAACTATATACAATGTTTCACTGTTACTGCAGACAGAAATGGCAAAGGAAAACACATGTAAATTGTCTTGTCTTTCTTGTTTCAGGGAGCTGGCAGAACTTCATAAGGTGAATGCCAGCAAAGCCAGCCAGGCTGAAGAAGTAGCTCTTAGCATGGAAATCCAGGCCAAGGAGCAGCTGAGTCTGACTCTTGAGAAAGCCCAAGAGGAGGCCAGGTTGCAACAGGAGGCACTGGCTGATCAGGTAACACAACTCATGCTGTACTTACACACCAAGTAATATTTGTTTTACTGTGCATGTAAGTAAACTGAGCTTAACCAGCGTGCATTAGTTTACCCTGTACACTGTGTAGGCTTTAGTGCAGAATAACAAAACACTCAGTCTTCAATTATAAGTCAGTAGCAAAGCTGTTGCTTGTACTCAGCTCTGTTGAAATGTTCATGTAAAAATGTCACTATAGCAATTTCTTTAAGGTTTTTATACTGACCAGTGGCAGATTTACTTTTCAGCCCTTGCTTATTTCTGTAAACACAATAGTAATAATGTTTAGACACAAAACTCCTTGATGTTTTCTGAATGAGCTGCACGTGTGAATGCAAACTGATACATTTTTTCACCCTGACTTTTTAAACAAAATGTTATTGAAGGGCAAATAGAAGACAAAGTGCAGACTTAGGGCACAAAAAAAAGGGTTCCTTTATTTTAATTTTCTTATAGCATGAAACAAATCCCAACACCTGTGCGTCCCTTCAGGTCCTCATTTTGGGAGACTATACAGGTTCAATACAAGAGGTCCTTATAGGAGAGGAGCTTAGACCAAGAAAAACAAAAGAGACCAACTGAGCAAACAAAACAAAACAAAACAGAACATAGGACACCAGCTAAAAGGATGAGACACAGTTGACAGTCTGCATTCTGTACAGTAAGTAGAAATACACAGTGGATTAACTCGTCATATCTGTATATTTTCGAGTGCTTGGTCCATCTAAGCTTGAGACTTGTCCCGGTTGGCTGTGCGTGTATCAAATAGGGGTTGCCAGATTTTCAGGAAAATATGATCTCTGTTGCTGGACTTAAAGCGTAATCTCTATATGGAGTACACTCCCTAGATCTCTAAACCACTGTTGGAATAGAGGGCGAGACTCTGACTTCCAATGCAAAATTATAATGCTTTTTACTAGTAGTGTGAAAAAGAATTTGGCCTGCCCTTCATACTTATAAATAGCTTGATTCACTCCAGCTGCTCCAAAGATAGCAAGTAGAGGATCTGGAGTGATAGTTTGGTTAAAGGCCTTCTATAGGTAGTCAAATATAAGAGACCAAAAAGTTTTTAATTCTGGGCAGGACCAGAACCGGTGGGTAAGTGTACCGGGCCCCCTGACTTTATCCAGAGTTTCTCCTGCCAGCCCCCTAGTATTATTTCCACAGAACGTCAGAGTGAACCGATGTCAGAAAGCAGCAGGATATAGTCAGGAGAATTCACTAAATTACAAATTATGAAGTGGTGGTGACATTATTCCTCAACAATTAGCACACGACCATAACCAGTATTCACACAACCGGTACGATCTACAGTATGTGCACGTAATTAAACGGCTGCATTAAGATTTCTGTTCATCAGTGTGGTCTTCTCCGCTTTGTTGATACTGTGAGTCTGTTGAACTACACAAAGCATTGATATAAAGGCAAGTACTCTCAATATAAAGCTGTGTAGTGAACTCTGTTGCTTCGTACACCACTTCCGGAACCTTTATTTATTTGTCATGTTTCGCCTCAGGAGACCACCTGCCACCCCCCTCCTGTCTGACAGGAATAGTCTCCTATTGTGACGTGCATGTGTGAACAACCAGATCAGGAGGATTTCAGGGGCACTCCTCCAGAAATTCTCTAGAAGTTTTCAGGAGTGCATGTGTGAAAACGACTAAAAAGCTTAACAAGACAACCTTCGATTCATGTTTATTTTTTTTATTGTTGTGTTCAGGTAGCTGATCTGAGAGTGGCTCTGCAGAGGGCTGAGCAACAGCAAGCAAGGAAAGAAGATTATTTGAGAGAGGAGATCACTGAGCTGCAGCAGGTAACATATTGTGCTTGTCATAAAGTGTGTTATTAAACTATTTCCATTTGAAAATCAGCCAAAGTAAGAATTATTTTGAACAGAATTATTCAAATTCACAATATTTCTGTATTCAACAGAGACTACAGGAGGCAGAGACCAGGAACCAGGAACTCAGTCAGAGTGTCACATCAGCAACACGGCCCCTTCTGCGACAGATTGAGAACCTACAGGCCTCGTTGGGTGGGCAGACTGCATCCTGGGAAAAACTTGAGAAGAGCATCTCTGATAGGCTTGGTGAGAGGCAAACCAACAGCGAAACACAGCACTTGTAACAAAGCGAACTAAAAGCTTGACATGTTTTCTGCTCTACATTAGCGGACGCCCAGGCACAGCTGGCTGTTGCTGTGCAGAAGGAGCGATCCGCAACAGAAGAACTGTTGTCCATCAAATCCCAGCTGGCCTCTCTGGAGTCCCAGAATTCCCTGCTCCGACAGGAAAAGGCTCGAGTCCTGGCACAGGTCGATGCAGAGAAGAACAAAAGAGAGAAACTGGAGGATGATAGCAGCAGGTAACAAATTACAACTTTAAACTTAGACTAATACATCCAGTAGATATTTCCCTCCTCGACTGTTAATTCTCAGTACATTTGGATGATATGTTTGGTTAAGGTACAGTATTTGACTGATTTGAAGACATGGCTTTCTAATGCTTATGGAGTTGCTGCTTTTTCTCACAAAAAGATATTATAAAAGAGAAGAATAAAGCACAATTTAGACTAAAACTTTTTTCTCATTTGGCAATGGTTTGTCTCCAGAAAATCTGTTAAAGACAGATTCTTATACTGTGTGTACTTTGTGTAGAAAATTACTGCTATAATGTTTCTGTCTACAATAAAACTTGTCAAACTATGCAGGAGAAATCAGCCACACTCTCTCCTCTTGTCGGGCCTTTGCTTCCTGGAGAGCACTGTTGTTGTTTAACAGCCAACTGATTTGTGAGTCATAGTGATAGTGTGAAGTGTAGGCTTCGGGGGGAGGGGATTTTTCCCCTGGCGGAAGCAGTCATGCGTGTACTTCATGAATATCTTTTGTGAGAAGACCGAGAGGTTTCAAGGGGCCAGTGGCGCAATGGATAACGCGTCTGACTACGGATCAGAAGATTCTAGGTTCGACTCCTGGCTGGCTCGTAGCTTTTTGTGTCGTGCTCAAAGGAAGGAAGAAAATAAATCTTCAAACTGCGGTGAAATGCCTCTGTGTCTTGCTAATGACTGTAACCGAATCTGAAAACATTATTACTTAGAAGGAGATATCGCACTGCTCTTTGCTGCTCAATATAATTGCATTTACTTTAGTGGAATATCCTTAAACACAATGATCATGATATTTAACATCATTATAAGATATTTCCCACTACATGATATCATTCCATTACAAGCACATCAGAGGTGATTCCTCTGTTTTCCAGTCGTTGATACTGTTTGATGTTTGTGACTTATTGCCTGTTCTCTCATCTCAGGGAGCATGTCGAGCTGGAAAACCTGCGTGGAGAACACATTAGGATGCTAGAGGATGCCAAAAAAGAAAAGGTGCCGAAATGTTCTTTCCTACTCTCACTGTTATCCATTATTTGAAAAAAAAAAATGTTCTTATTTGCATATATGTGTCTCTTCCACCAGCTGCTACTGACCAATCAATTAGAGATGGAGAAGATGAAGGTGGAGCAAGAGAAGAAGAAATGCTATTTAGCACAAGAGGCACTCAAGGAAAAGGTTGAGTAGAACGTAGAGATACGTGGACATACAAAATGTTACCCTTAGTCTGTTTTGTTATCCCCTTTCAAATAAGGTGTCGAAACTCTGTTATTTAATAGTTGAACATTTTTTCCATATCAGGAGCGGAAGGCTGTGATCCACTCTGTGGAGCCTCCAGCCTCCTCCACACCGTCCCTGTCCCGCTCAAGCTCCATCAGTGGGGCTGACAATACCGGCCTGCACGCACCAGTTCTTTCCCAGGTACGCGATGAGGAAAACATTTTGAATTTAAAAACTACACTTAGTTTGTACATCCCTGTATTTTTGTAATTTGATTGATCCTAACAGCTCACATTCTCCAACAGGATGATTCTTTGGATCATTCACTCAGTACCATGACCATGTCGATGTCGATGAATGGGACCAACCTGTACGAGGCTGCCCGGCTCTCTGGAGGCTCCAGCATCATAGAGAACCTCCAGTCTCAGCTCAAACTCAGAGAAGGAGAGATAGCACAGCTGCAGGTAGCAATTAAAAATTAACAACATAACACTAATTCATCAGTTTGATGAATCGGCTTCATGGCAAAACCAGCTGGTCCAAGCTTTTCATGTTTTCCTTACAGTCACCAGTACACAGAATAGTAGTTTACTACATGTGTCAACAGGACCAACTCTTAGCACAGGGATCGTCCTGTGCTTCATTAAAAAGGTGATTATCTACCAAAGGTTTTAACCTTAGTTTCTCTTGCTTTGAAAGCTTGAGATTTCTGCTCTAGAGAGGAGTCGTTCAGTGATGGCAGAAGAGCTGGTACGCCTCACCAATCAAAACGATGACATGGACGAGATGGTGAAGGAGATCCCAAAGTTAAAAATTCAACTCAAGGTAAGAGCTAATCAGGGAAATCAGACCATATGTCATTGGAAAAGTTCTGTCTTGATGACTGATTTGTTTGCAGAGCCTCTTCTAATTTTTGCGGCTTTGTATTTCAGGAACTGGAGCAGAGGCACAACACAATCCTTCAGATGTACGGGGAAAAGGCTGAAGAGGCAGAAGAGCTCAGACTGGACCTCGAAGATGTGAAGAATATGTACAAAATCCAGATCGATGAACTGCTGAAAAACCAGAAATAAACAGTTTTTCGGTGCTATTTTAGGAACACATACTAAACAAGATGACCAATCTACCCAGGCATGAAGTGAGGTGAAGATAGGACAGAGAGTGTAAGTTTAATCACTGTGTCAGATGAAAAATAGGTTTTCTTTTTTCTTTTTTCTTTTAACTAATGATCACATAAAATATTTAAGTTAGGATCTTGGGATTATTCATGGCATACAATGTATTACTGCACAATCAGTATGAAGGATAGTCACAGTTTAAGATTCAGGTGCCCTTCTCCAATAGTTGGGATTTAGCTCAAACTTCACTATGGATTACATAGCGAGGACGGATCGTTTCAAATGGTACCTTCAAGACAGTTTATAGAGATGGTGAAGGCCCTTGCACTATACAAATTCATCCTTGTTTCTCTCTAATGCATTTTAAGAATGGTTAAAGAACTATATAATTTTATTGTACAGAAATATGTATGTATTGTTCTTTACTCCTTACAAATCACAAAATGTTGTGTAGGCCTGAGAGTAGTCTGTGATTAAAATCCTGAAGATTTGGTATCAGACATTATAAATATGTAAATGAATAAACATCTATTCGGGTGGTGGAAAAACATTTTTCTGATTCTTGGTTTCAAATGTGTGAAATAACATGAGAAGTCATTACAACACTATGTTTATGATGCACACAGCTCTTCAAATAAATGTCCTAAGTCTTAGCACAGTATATGTTTGTAAATTAGTACAAGACTATCCTACATAACCTAAACATGCACAGATAAAATCAAATTAGGACAAGATTTAATTCCAAGGTTTGTAATACTTTGTGATAAAGACGGCTACATTTCTGTAGCCGTCCTTTCAATTAGAGAAGTTGTCCAATGTCAACATTTCTTGTAAAAGGATAGAAAGCCACTAGAGTACATGGAAGTTACATGTAATAATAGAAATAGAAAGATGTGGTACACAGTGCCATCGTCTGGCGGATACTCACATTACATACCGGGTTAAGATTTCCGGTGTTATGGCGACCACCGGCACCAGCATCGCTTCAGTGTGGAGAACAGAGAGCTGTGCTTTCAGGTCAACTGCATCTCTCAAACTCTCTCCAGCTGCTGCAGACGACTCTACCGAGTGAGTGTTTCTGCACACACGCCGTGTGCATCGTGAAAATGTGAAGTGTTTCTTCCTCAGTATGTTTCAATGCAACACTTGTCCAGCTTAAGATAACGTGAGAACGGATTAGTAGTAGAAGTATCGCTATCAATATGTTAGCCACCTAATAAATATCTCAGAATGTATCCTTCAGTACGAAGTGTCGTCGTAGTATCAAAGAAAGAGCAACTATTAAGTAACGCGTTATTAACACTTTGTCAGTCTTTCTGTGAGCGTTCCTGGCGGTCTGCCACGTTAATAACACATTTGAGTAGCCTAAACTAGTAAATTCACTTTAGATACTCATTAAAATGTCAAACTGGAGCTTATTATCTTGCCAAATGAAGTTTGTGTTTTTCTCTTAAAGCGCCAGTGTGACAGTAAGATGAGGATAACACGTTTAGGGGCGTCATGCACTCTCACTGATTGCACAGCTCCCTATGTCAATACTGTCCATTTACTACTCTGTTTTTGCACATTTACATTTAATCTTTCATATTTAAGACTAGTAATGCTTAGTTAAATCCTGGTTGTATATATTCCCATTCTCAGTTGTGATATTTTTAGTGCTTATTTACTTTGTATTTTATATTATATAGTGTTTAGATTTGCTAATATTGTGTTTTTTGCTCATATTGTGTGTTTGGACAACCTGCTGCTGTAACGCCACAATTTCCCAGTTTTTGATCAATAAAGTAATTCTATTCTATTCTAATTGACAGGGGCTAATAAAAACTAAATAAAGACAATTAATTCATCTAAAATGTGGGCGGGATACTTGTGCCGTGTTAAGTTTAGCGTTTAGTTATTCAGGTAACAGTATTTCACATGGAGCTGCTTTTTTTCCCACAGTAGAGTTTTATGCAGCATCCTGTTACGCCCACATCAAAGAGGATTGTTTACATAATAACTATCCTTGTACATTTGTTTTTAATCAGGCGTGATATTCTTACGCTTAAAAATGTAGTTGCTACCTAACCCTGCAGGGCGTTTTTATTGTATTATTATTTTTAACAGATCATGCACTGCATTTTGAGTCCAGTCCAAATGTTTGGGATTCATTGTTTAACAGCATAATGTGGTTATTGCACTAAAGGAGTTGACTTTGGGAGTGATGAATGTCAGTGGTTCAAACCACATGCATACTTGGATCATAAAAATGTTGCCTGTGTTCTGTGTGAAAGTTGGTTTGGCCATCTGAAACTGCATAAGTCACGTTAATGCCAGCTTTTCATTTGCCCTATCCTGCCTCAGTTATGATTGTTCAGACAACAGTCGGAAAAGGGGTCAGTTATACTTCCTGCAACAGTACTTTTCCTTATGAGGCAGGTTCTCACACACTTGCTTGTTCCCACATGTTTGTCTACGGCGGCGTTAGGCTTTAAACTTAGATTACAGAGTGCAAGTCTCAGTCTGTGTTTCTTTCTCTCTGTCCTCAGGGTGCTGTGAAAAGCAGCGGCCGTCTCTCATGTCTGTGTGACTCTGACTATGCTGCTCTTGGTGCTGTTGTGCATAGTTTTTTCATTCACTTTGGTCGCCACTGAGAGGGCTGAGAACATCAACCACAGACCACCAGCACCGCTACTCAACTACAGCAGGATCACCCTGCCGCCGGAGCATGTACCCTTCTTCCTCTACAACAACAAGAAGCTCGCCAAGCAATGCCGCCTGGACCCCCTCTGTCCTTTTAAAGTAAGTCATGCACTTTGTCTATTTTTTTTTTCAATTTTCTTTTTTAAATTTTGAGTGCTGGCTTATCACGTGAGTTTTTGCTGTTCTGTGTGAAAAGCTCAAGGCCCTTGGGTTACAAAATCAATTGAATTGTCTGTTTGTATTTTGTAGTAAACTGATAATCGGCTTTACCTTCAAGCATACATTTAAACAAATTCACTCATTTATTTATTTATTCGAAGCAGCGTGGAAGCAGCTGAATGTTTGGCAGCACTGTGAGTCCACGACAAATTTCCCCAAGGGGACAATAAAGTCTATTGTATCTTATTTAAAGCTTTCAAGGCTTTCAGTGATCGTCAAGGGTGTGTGTATATGGACACCGATTGCTGCAGTGTCACACCGATGTTTCATAAAGAATGATACATTTCAAACATCACGATTAAATTATGTCTTTAAGAATATCATTATTTGCAAACTTTTGTATTGAAAGTCATTGGACAACTTTTTTTCTGCCAAACTTTCCCTTGAAGATTTTCCTTCACTTAAACAACGCTGTTCTTGTTTTTACAGCAGGATGCACTGCAGGATCCGTCTGCCTGTTGGGGTTACGAGAAGAAGTGTGATCCAGATAGACGCTTCAGCTACCCAGTCTGTACCAGGGCTGACACAGGATGGTACTGTTTTTCACTTCATTTTCACAACTATAATGCTGTTTACATCACTTACTTTTTGTTCTCCTAGCAGGCATCCATAATATATGAGGTGCTTAAAAATCACAAGTATAGTTAGTCATCCTTTATTCATAGGTATTTAATTTATAGTTCCAAAGTAAGTCGTTGCTCATTCATAGCATGCATCTTTGATGATCCACTATGATTTGGGCTTTGCTGATCTGCACTAATCTCTAAACTGTCAGGGCTCGTTCACTGGAGGCAGCCCAGGAGCTCTTTTGGAAGCAGGCTGATTTTGGCTACGTGAAGGAACGTCTCTCTGAGCTCAAAACACTGTGCAAGGCCAGCAAGCCGGTAAGTCTGCCCATTTCCTTTGTTCCCACGGGCCTACTGAGTCAACAGGAAGAAACAGCAGGTAGAAACATACAAAGTCACAAATAGGGCCTGACATTTTTCTTTTTTTCACAGTAGTGCAGAGACAGAAAAGTGCAAATTCCATTCTCAAAATCTACACAGTTCCAAGGTTTCTCAATATAACTTAAATATTTAATAGTTCTATTAATAACATTTTTCAGGGGAGCTCATCTTTAAGGTGCAGTAGCCACACTCGCTTCTGTAAGGCAACAAACCTTTACCTGGACTTGCGTAAGCCACGCAGAGGTCACGAGAGGTCAGTATGTTTGAGAATAATGTGTACATGAAAAGAGATGAGGCTTGACACCTATTCATGTTTATTGCAGATACAAGGAGGACTTCATTCAGAAGGGTGAGATTGGTGGCTTCTGCAGACTGAACAAGCAAGCACTTGCTGCAGAGGGAGAGCACAAGAGCCCCCTACAATCTTGGTGAGCAAAGAGAAACTCACATGTATACAGTGTAGTATACACTCTGTTACTGGCACAACTGCGATAAAATCAATGACTTCATGATTGGTACTTTTTTTTTAAAACGTGGAATGCATCCATGGCTAACATAGCCCAGTCAATGCAGCCTATTGAGGTTGATTCGTAAATTGGTTTTTAAAGGCATTGTTCAGACTATGTCACTTTTGGGGTTCGAATACAAAGTGCAAGAAGAGAGATTCTCTGAGATGGCCGGTTAAGTTGTAAAATATATTCTTAGTATATCAGACGCTGAAGGTTGTATTGATTTCTTACAAATGACACACTTCAGGTTGCTTAGATATATATTATAGCTGCTCCTGTCCTCATCAATACAGCACAGAATCTGTGCTGTTACTTTTGGCCGCTTCTTCAAACCAATTCAAGAAATCTGAACAACCCCTTTCATTGTCAGCATGTTGTTGTGTAATGTAATGGCTTTAGCGTGACGTTAGAGGTCAGGCTCTTTGTGCTTTGAATGAACTTCATTCTACAAAGCAAGTTGAAAAGGGAGTTCCCTGACCGGGAATCGAACCCGGGCCGCGGCGGTGAGAGCGCCGAATCCTAACCACTAGACCACCAGGGAGCTTACTGTGAGGATTTCACACCTGCAGAAAACTCCTGAAAAAATCTGGATAATTTCAGGAGGAGCTGCATGTGGAAACTCAAACAGCCACATTTTTGACTTGGACTTTATCCGGAGTATCTCCTGCCAGTCCCCTTGTATTTCTTCTGCAGAAAGTTCGGATGAGCTTATGTAAGAATGCAGCAGGATATAATCAGGAGAATTCTCACCGAGCGAGTGGGAGGGGGTGATGACGTTTATCCTCTGTGACTGCTGCAAAATTAGAAGAGCGACGCTTTACAGGGTGAATGAAAACAATGTTGAAGACCGAGAATCATTTCACGACTCATAACAGCGATAATGTGTGCCCACTGGAGCGACTATGAGATCAGGGAGTTTTTGTCTATGAGGGTCGATGCTGAAATTGTTTGGCAGATAAAGGGGACAACCAGGGACTCGGTCGTGTACGACCAAATAATGACGCTGTTATGCGACAGTAGAGTTACCGGAACAAACTCCCAGGTAAACATGAAGCTGAAGTCCCTAAAGACATTTTACGTCCACGTCGTTGACCATAATGTCCGGAGTGGAAACGAGAGAGCGAGACGTGGGCATATTTTGGTCTTTGTGAGGCTATTTGGTTAGTTAAGTTGTGAAATATATTCTTAGTCCT